TGCAAGGAGTAGGATCTATTCTAGGTTGGATAGATTCTTAATTAGTTCATCTATCCTGGATTCGTTTCAAGGTCTGAAAGTGAGGCATCTAACAAGATTAACATCTGATCATTGCCCCATTTTATGTGAAATTCAGGGTGCTGTGAGGTGGACTTACTCTCATTGGATTAAATTCGAAGATGTTTGGGCTAGTTACCCTAAAGCTTGGTATTTGGTCTGGGAGAAAAGGTGTGTGGAGGACTCGGGTAGTGAGTCTTCTAAATTGCAGAAAAAATGCCAAAGAACTTTGAAGGCTCTTTTTTTCTGGAGTAAAAATAAATTTAAAGAACTTAATCAATTGAAGGGTGAGCTGGATGAGGAGATTAAGGTTCTTCAGGAGCAGGAATGTTTGTCGGGGGGATTAACTGATGTTTAAGTTGAGGCTTTGAAGTACAAGGTTCATTTGCTGAATAGTACTTTAACTCGTATTATGATGTGGTGGAGGAAACGAGCCAAGGTAAGGTGGATTGAGGAAGGGGATGGTAATAACCATTTCTTTCCTTCAATGGCATCTGCTAGAAGGAGGACAAAATGTATTGATTCATTGAAGAAGGCAGATGGGACGGTAATTTCAGATCATGATGATATTTCTTTGGAGATGTTTAATTTCTTTGAGAAGAAATGGAAGTTGCAGCGTATTGTAGAAGGAGGCTGGCCGTCATTGGAGGTCCAAAGGAGCTGTCTAGCTGAGTTTTCTAGATTTTTGGATGCCGAGGTTACTAAGGAAGAAATTTGGAATGTGGTTCGCTCTTTGGGTAGGAACAAGGCTACTGGAAGAGATGGGGTGACTGCTTCTTTCTTCAAATTCTTTTGGGAGATTGTTGGAGAACAAGTGCTTTTGGCTTGTTTGGAGTTTTTTTCTACAGGTTTTATGGAACCTTTTTGGAAGGAGGCAGTTGTTGTTTTGTTGCCTAAAGTCAATAACCCTGATCAACCTTTCAAGTTTAGACCTATTAGTCTTTGTCAAACAATTTATAAAATTGTGGCAAAGGTTTTGGTGAATAGACTTAAAGGAGTATTGCCAAGGCAGATTTAGGAGGAGCAAGCAACTTTTGTGCCAGGAAGATTGATTTCAAATCATTGTTTGCTTGCTCAGGAGATGATGAATAAGTTCAAGGTGTCTAAATCTTCCTTGGGTTTTTTGGCATTAAAAGTAGATATGGAGCAAGCGTATGATAAGATGAGTTGGAGGACTTTGGAGCTTGTTCTTGAACGTATGGGTTTTCCACCAAGATTCACTTCTTGGGTTCTTTGCTGTGTTATGGATCCACAATTTTCTATCCTTATTAATGGGAGGTTAACTGAGAAGATTAATGCAAAGTGTGGTTTCCGACAAGGGTTCTGAGCTGTTGTCGGCACATTTTTATCAGAATTTCATGGAGCTGGGAGTGCAAATTAGTGTTGGGGGACCTTCTGTCTCCCACCTCCTTTATGCTGACGACATTCTCTTTTTTGCAGGTGCTTCAATCCCCAATGTTAAGAAGATTAATGCTATTCTTGAAGACTATTATAGTTGGACTGGACATAGAGTCAACAATGGAAAATCTGCCATTCTTTTCAGCAAGAGGAATTCATTTACTACTAGATCTCGGTTGGCTAAATTGATTGGCTGCTGTAAGGTTGCTGAATTGGAGTATTTGGGTGTCAAGTTGGTAATGAGGATACTTTCTAGGAATGATTTCACGCAGTTAATTCAGAAGGCCAGAGCTTATACGCTGTCTTGGGGTATTCGTCATTTGTCTTTGGCTGGACGGGTTACATTGATTAATTTGGTTTATTACCTTTATCAGTGTATATGGTGACCCATACTGGTGTGCAGAGAGCTGTTATTAATGATATTGAGATGATATGTTGCAGTTTTCTTTGGGATAGAGATGCTACACACAAAAGCATGCAGTATGCTTCGTGGGAAAGCATGACACGTCCACGATGCAAGGGTGGCCTTGGATTTCATATTGGTGCCAACTGGATTGGACCGTTGAGAGCTCGTATTGCTTGGGAGTTCATCTGCAAACCATTGGAGTTATTCCAGAAATGCATGAGACATAAATATGGTGATAATCCTTGGCATTATGCTGGGAGGAAGGGGAGTTCTATCTGCTGGAAGATTATCTGTGAGGGAGCCCATAGCTTGAGCAGCTCGGTTCGTTGGAAGATTCATAATGGAAGGAAGATTGATGTGTTAAATGATGTGTGGATTTGGGATAGGACTTTATCTAGATGGCCTACATTTTGTGATATTAATACTATTGAAAATCTGATGGTGTTGGATTTTATTCTGGAAGGAATTGGATGGAATAGGCCAAAACTTCTTCTATGTTTTGGAGAATTGTTGGTGGGCATAATCTGTGGGATTCCGATTGAAAATGGGTTGTCTACTGATTCTATCGAAATGATGAAGAGCCCACTATGTTCAACAATTTCTGTTGTGGTTTACAACAGTTGTTTCATGGAAGATGATGATCCTGTTTGTCTTATTTTTAAAGTTGGGTTGAGGCCCAGGGAGAAATTATTTTGGTGGAGAGTGTATAAAGACATTATCCCAACCAATGGTTAGCTTAGTAGATGGGGTCTTTCTACTAATTCTTTTTGTCCTTTGGGATGTGATGAGGTGGAGGACATAAATCATATTACGAGTAATTGCAGGAAGCTCCGGGACGTCCTGACTGTTCTGGAAAACTAGGGATTTGTGGTTCCTCGGTTTTCTTCATTTGATGAGTTATGGGATTCCATTGGGAAGTTTGCTGATGTGAGGGAAAGTTGGGTGCCGGTGTATTGTGTTGCTATTCATCAGAGTTGGGATAACAGGAATTCTGTTAAGTATGGTAATGGTGGTTGTTCTCCTACATACTTGGCTGCTAATATGTTGGAGGTTCTGGATCAAAGTTGCTTTTCACTTCATCTGGAGCAACGGGACACCTCTCAATCCATTGGATTGGCTACTCTGTATTCTTGGTGTCCCCCCTATAGGTTGGCTGAAAATTAACTTGGATGGAGCTTTGCATCGTTTGAATGCGAGAGGTATAGGAATTGTTATACAAGATTGTGAAGGGAAGCTGATTGCTGCGGTTGGATGGTGTGTGACCCATTGGGACAGCACACAAGTGGAATTGTTGGCTTTTAAGTATATTGACAAACTCCTTTCTGATTGGATGTTTGATTTTTATGGGGCCATTATAGAGGGAGGTAATGCAGGGGTGATTAAATATATGCAGAATTTATGGTATAAGGATAAATGGAAGCTGCATATGAGGGATTGCATGGATATGGATTGGCTTAAGTTGTTCCAAAAATTTTTATTTGTTCATACTTATATGAAGTTCAACAGAGCAGCCCAATTTTGTGCACAGAGGGCAGTGGATAGTTCTTTTTCTTGGGATATAGGAGATAGAGACATTCCTCAAGAGTTGTTGAATATCCTTGAGGAAGATAGTTGCTTTTCTTTTTCTAGAGTGCCAAATGGGCAATAGTTTGTTTTTTCTTTGATAGTTTGAAATAGCTTTTTTAGATGAATGCTAATGCAAAAGTTCAGCTCTCTTCCTCTCTCTCTCTCTCTCTCTCTCTCTCTCTCTCTCTTTCTTTCTC